GAATCTAGCTCATATCCCACGATATACACCCTCGAAAACATGGCCCTAAATTACGTCCATCCAATTTTTTTTTCGGCCAGGCGTCTGCTGGTCCACCCTGCATTTGATGAACTCCTGGCCAGCTGCGAAACCATGGGAATACTAAACTTAAGCCAATAGATCAGGAGGAATCTGATAATTCACTGAACTTAAATAACGTTATTTTTTTAATGAAATGACTAGTAGTTCGATTATGTGTTCCCCAGAAATTCCAGATTTCTAACTGGGTTCTATCTTTTGTGGCCACGGTCAAAAAACGGTATATGTGGCAATGTCATCCATCCCATAATGGGACTCGTTACGATGGGTATACTCCCATCCACCAAATTTCAAACAGCCCCATTGCATGGTCCAAAGATGTATGTCTAAATCCCCTACATCCACCGTGTTGACTCTAGGGGCTGTTTCATATGAACAGGGGAAAAGACTCATTGACCATCCCCTTGTATTCCCATTAGCTCCTAATTGCATCTCCTAAAATCCTACCACGTTTCATGGTTGAATCCGTATTTTTCATGGTGACATTCCAAGTGTTTGATGGCTAAATCGTATTTGTTCATGCTTAAATCATGTCAAATCATCATGTTTGATGAATAAATGCCTATAAATGCCGCATATGTATACATATGTCTCATTACATGCCATATGCCCATGTTTTTGTTGATGGAAAGTCCCTTTTTTTCATGGGAAAATCCGAAGTGCAAAATCCACTCCGTTCGCCTTGACGAAGTGCACCGACTCCGCGGCCTTGTGGGCGTCGGCCGTGCCTGGCGACAGGATCCAAAATCCATAGGAAAACCCATGGGAAAACCAAAGGCAGATCGAACAGTAAAATCTGGTTTATTATGATTTGCTATGGGATTTACTATGGTTATGAAAACCATGGTTATTTTTCATGATCTGCTATGGTTATTTAACCATAACTAAATATGAAAACCATGGTTATTTAACCAGATTTACTATGATTTAGTAGGTTTTATGGTGATTTAATGGGATTTAATGGGCTTTACATGGATTTACCCTCTGGTTATTTAACATAGCCATGGAAAGATCCACCATATTTTTAAGTTCGGTAAACCATCTATTTCTATGGGCCATCTATACCATGGCTATGTTAAATAACCAGAGGTTATATAAATACATTATTAAAAACACACATATATATATATAGCAGATAGATATATAGCAGATCTACATAGACATACATCTACATAGACTACATACTTATTCTTCTTTGATATATTATACTTCAGTATGCATGCTTCCGAAATATGGGATCTAAGTACACTAAATAATGGGATATCCTTATCCCACTTTGTGGTGAACTCACCATGGGCGTAGCCCATTTGCAAATGGGATGACCACTGAGTTGGGGAGTTATTCACCTACTAAGCTTGATGATCCTCCACGTATATTGCATTAGATTGCTATATATCCCAGTGAATACAGCTGGGGATTTATGAATGTTCCTCCCCCGATGACAATTCGGACTGTCGGTTTTAAACCATAGCCATATTTCATAACCGCTGGAAATGCATAGTACCCAGATAATGGATTTCAATGGGATCTTGAATTTAATCAGACCAGCTCAGGGAGTACTTACAAATGCTTCAAACCAGGGCTATAGATCAAGTTGGGCCCCTAACCGATTTATCTGATTTCCAGTACATGCATGTAACAATTGTTATATCTTGAATTTGGGTGCCTATACTGGTTACTGGTTAGAGTCACTGGATTTTCTTCGCCAAACGGCATCATCATTGCTTCAGTCAAGGGTCCGAACTCCAGAGGCAACCCCCTTAGAAAACTAGAGAGAAACGCATGCGTGATCCCATGTGTGAAGTTGATGTCCACGTACATTTACGTCCGTTTCACAACTGTTTTGAACGGAAACACGGATATCATAAGCAAAGGTCATGGGTGTAGAACACTGGTGAACATTGATTCTTAACCACGTGGAACCCATAGATGATCCTTCAACCAGATGGTTTTTTTTGCGACCAGGGCCGCAGGGCCATCTCGTGCTGTTTTCGATCATATTAACATTCCAAACCATAACCAAAGCCGGCTTTTACCATTTGTACAGTATGGGTTTGACCATGAGAACGTAATTATACCCTGACCATCAATCAATAACTGGATTTTGGGGATGTATGGTATAACACATATACGCATATGTAAAAATATACAGGATGCTTGGACAAACAATGGCCAATCTTAGATACGACATTTGTTTAAAAGTTGGTTTGGTTGATATATAGCAAAATATTATAAGTTGTACTATGTCGTACTATCCACTTGGTAATTATATATATATATATTCCTGACTCTACTCCCAGGTACTATCAGTTGATAAAATATCCCCATACTAAATCATATTTGTACATATTCGATCATACTTGTACTAATTACAGTATCCATCTAGTCGGTTGACCGGCCTTCCTTCAGCTTCTTCGCTAATCCATCGGCACAGTCTTCCGCCTGCGATGGAAGACTGGGGATCAGTCCTTTCCAGGGATGGTAAGGGCTGGAAAATATGGAAAATTCTGGGGATTCATCGTGTGTGAGAACTTGGGATTTCCTCTCTTTTTCCTCTCCTTAGCCACAGGTTCTTTGCAAAAGCTGTGCTATACAGATAGGTTCTAGGTCTTGCTTTTCCGTAGCACAGTTTTAAACATGTTAACAAATAGCCTTAGACTTGTTTCGCCTGTGGCTGTCTACATGACATTCGATGGAAGCATGGAAGGCTATAGGAAGGCTACCATGGCGCTTAGCTATCGAAACAGTTAAATGCCTACAGGTGCCTCACATACATCCTATTCATAATGAAACAAACATCCGACATATAGCAACAGGCAACCAACATCCTTGACACATGATGGGGAGAGAATCAATAAACGGGAAATCGAATGCAACGAACATGACGAGTGACATTCTCTACATGGGTCTGTCCAAGACTGGGTCACGCGAAAGCCCATTAGCTTCATTTACCTTCCCATGCATTTCCATGCTATTTCCAATCATTATCATGCGATCATCCACCACTTCAAGCCATTTCAATCGCCTTCAATCGCCTTCAATCGCCTTCAATATGGCAGTGTGTCAACACCTTGTACCCCTGTAGTTCACATCAAAATAGCTGGTAAATGGATGTTCATCCCCCTAAAAATGGTATTAATAGGTATTGACCCAACCCCATATCAGGACATCCCAACTTTGGATAACCAGCTGAGACCCGACAGGTGCCGACAGGCTGCCTCGGCTGCCTCGGCCTCCTGGATCCAAAGACCCCAGGAGCGCGTTTCCAACTCCAAGGCCAAGGGCGTTCCCTGCGACGTGGTGCAGTTCTTAAAGGGACACGCCTCCTGGCGATGGGATGCTGGGATGCTGGGATGCTGGATGGCTGGTATTTTAGTGGGACGATTTCGGGAATCAGTGTCCTAGCTTCGCACATGGATTGAAGGTGGAAGAACGTCATAAGTCATAAGCATGTCATAAGCATTGAAAGTTTGCAAGCACTCAAAGTCGAAACACGGCTTGCCGGAAAGTCCGCATGTTCAAGAGGAGCATGGTTGGATTACAGGAGAAATTCCCATGGGTTTACAGGAAATTACAAACATATTAATCCGGAAAATCATGGAAAATCAACAATGCCCCTCCTGCGAAGAAAGCCTAAGAATATCTGAGTCCTTGATTTGGTACTGTTCTCACAAGTTTAGCCAAGCCATATCATGTATTATATAACGCTCAAGTAGTAGTTTCATGGGGTATCCACCAAACACCGTCAAATCACAGGGTCGTTGTTGCCTGTCGCCCCGGTTTGGTTGGCCAAAATCCCTGCGGTCCATCCTGAAAGACAGGACACTCCGCACCCACCGTCTGCTTCATGGACTGCGAGGCCTTGCAGGTCCGGCGTCCAAGATGTTGCAAGCAGCAAAAATCTGGGTAAACTACCCAAAAAATGGTGATGTCAATAGGGATGCATGGAGAAACTAGCAATAAATGGAGACACAATCAACAAGAAAAAGGGGATGTAACCAACGATGTTTTATTCAAACATATTTATATAAACCCAAAAATGAGTCAACCATAGGCCGATTGAAGCAACAAGCACAGATGGTGCTTGTAGAAGCAAAAACGGAGACCCGATGAGTTCCATCTGTGATTCATGGGATGACTCTCCCATTACTAGCTTCAAATACCCTGCCATTTTTCGCTGACTTTAAGCAGTAAAGGGTTGTCCTCCATTGAATCTGCAGCCTTGTGCACTGTCTTCAGCATCTCAAGGAGCATTTCATGGGACTTTCCTCCTTCCTCCGCCTGAAATTCAGGGGCTTGCTGGGATGGATCTGTCAAGGCATCCCCCCGTAACCTGTCCCATTTGAAAAGCTAGAACATGAAAAAAACATTGGAACACCTATGAACACCTTTAAAATCAGCAGGTCAAATCATGTCAAATCTATGTACCTATTGAATTCAACGGTTCCCCTTTCAATCCATTTAGAGCGGTGACCTCGAAGGAGTCGAGATTGTCATCCTGAAAGGTCCCGTGCTTGTGGATAATTGAGGAATTTAGCTTCACAACAAGAATGAAGAGTGTCCTTGTCAGGTTAGGATTCCTAGAAGGCATCCCCAACTCTACCCACCCACTATGGTCATCGGAGTTGACATGTTTTCTCTCGCGTCAATGTGTGTTGTAGAAGTTGTATAGCACTCGCCGCGAGCTTTCGTTCGAAGAGCCGGTGATCATCAGGGAAGCACCTAGGTATGACTGAAGCCGGTCAAATATTTCCCAGCACTAGATAGCACTAGTCAACAATAATGTCAATAATCAGAGGGCAAAACCCCAAGAACTCTATGGTTGCCCCAGTGAAGCCTTTTAAGAAGAAACCCTAGGAGTGGAATGTCCAATGGTGAAAGTCATCTTTAAAAGCCGGTTTTCTGTGGGGTTCCATGTTAAACTTCAGGGGCAGCGTACCAAACATACAGTTTTGTCTGCAAATAGGGTAACCGATGGCATGCCATAGTTCAAAAATCTCATGCTTGATCACCGTGTCCTTCCTTAAAATCTTTAAATTTAAGGGTTGGCAATGGGTTTTCTCCTTACAAAATCCTTCGCGAATTGGGGTTTCCCCACTTTTGGAGCAAGGTCATATGACGAAAACTTGTGGCTTACAAAACCCTCTTTCACCCGTCTGCACCTGATGCCGCCCTGACGGCAGCTTGCTTGTGCAAGCATGGCCATGGCATTTCCACATTAAAGGCGCGATACCTCTCAGGGCAGAGAGCTGAGGATCTCTCCATCTTTTATGGTGAAATACCTCAAATTATAATCTTTGTTAGGTAAAATCTCCATGTTTACTGCCGACATGCCCAATTTGGATGGGCCTTGGTCAAAATGTCCCTCGTACTTAGGAAGGCGGAGACGTCACCAGTCTTCGGTGGGCAACAGGCATGTTCTTGGGTATCTGAACTAACTGGATGGGCCAGAAACACACTTAAAACCCACACACCGGCTGACCCGAAAGACTTGGCGAAGCTGGCTCATCCAGGGTGATATGACCGACACATCAAAAACGATGAAATCATCCTGAAATATCCTCAACCATGGAGGCTCTTCCCACCAACCACCCAAGTCTGTTCGAAATCACCCAGCTGACACAGTTCCTTGCTCCACCGGGCCACTGCAAGCGCAATTCACCATCTCCCGGTATCGATGTGGAATATAGCGCGGTAAATCTGGCCTAGGCGAAGTACAGCCGAGGAGCGATTCCCTGGAAAGTCCTCAGACCCCATTTTTCTGAGGCTCCAAGCCCTCCACCGAACAGCAATGTCCTGTTCAATTTTTGTAAAGCTGGCACCCCTTACACCCCTGAAACAGTAGGACCAACCAGCTTCAGTCAGAAATTTCATCATGCCAATCCGCATTTCCAGGAGCTTCTATCTTGCCCCTCCCTAAAGACTTTCCTTCCCATCCCACCATAATTTTACATGCACATGAATACATACATGTGCATGTACTTACATATACATATATAGATATATAGAGAGAGAGAGAGGGATGATTGATTGAGATATATATATATATAATCCCTTCCCCCTATTACTAAACCCCCCCCGAATAATGAAAACTAGGGTCCATCTCCAATGTTGGAAAATTTCAGGTTGGCCAATTTGACTTTTAATTGATCCCCTTTAGAAAACAATTTAAAAATAGAGCTACTATTTGTGGGTTTCACCCCCTAATCAAAGCTAGTCAGCCCTGGGGTGTTTTTTATTAGGGTCCGTCCGAAAATTTTAGTTTTTTATATCAGGGTTTTTAATTTAATATTAGGGTCCGCTTCGAAATCAAATTTTTGGCAATGTGTTAATTGCGTGACAAAAGGAAATTTAATTGATTTTGAAATCGAAAAAAAAATAGTTGTTTTTTATTAAAGGTTTTAATTTATTATTAGGGCCCGCTTCGAAATCCAATTTTTGGCAATATTCTAGTTGCGTGACAAAAGGAAATTTAATTGATTTTGAAATCGAAAAAAATAGTTGTTTTTCTATTAAAGGTTTTAATTTATTATTAGGGTCCGCTTCGAAATCCAGTTTTTGGCAATATTTTAATTGGGTTATAAAAGAAACTTTAATTGATGTTGAAATCGAAAAAATAGCTTTTTTTATTAAGGGGTTTAACTTATGATTCGGGTCCGCTTCGAAATCAAATTTTTGGCAATATTTGAATTGCGTTAAAAAAAAGGAAATTTAATCGATTTTGAAAGCGTAAAAAACAGTTTTTTTTTTAATTAAGGGTTTTAATTTATTATTAGGGTCCGCTTTGGTTCCCCAATAATTACACCCCTAATAATAAAACTACCCGAGGTGTGTATTATTTGGGGAGAGGGGGGTCTAGTAGTAGCGGGAGAGGGTTATAATGGATTATATATATATATACATGTTATTACATTTTTTAGTATAGATATAGAGAATAGGCACAGCATCTACAGCTCCCCTTCCATCAGGGCACCGCTTCATTGGGCCCATCGTTGTGCGCGTCCAAACTCAGCAGCTGATTCCGCTGGAGGTTCGCAGTGCGCAGTTGCTGCAGCAGCTGATCTGCCGCGCCGTTCCACCAGGTGGCCGCGCTAGACAGGTGCCGCACGGTTAAGGGCGCGGGGCGCCTTGGACCCAGGAAGAGGAGCAGGACTAGGCCGTCACCTGGGTGGGCTTTGGGGAATGGAGAATCTATGATATTTTGGGTGGATTTGGGGTGGGTTATCCATAATATCTCAAAATGAGCAATTTTAGTGGGTTAAAGTCCCGATTTGTTGGTTTTACTATGTTTTACTCATTTGACCCTGAGATTTAGCTATTCTTGGAGGAAAGTACAGGTACAGGGATGATGATAGTCCATGTTCCAAAACTTCCCATGAAAAACATGGTGCTGCCACCTAAAATATCATCGTTGAGACCACAATTTCTCCATCAAAACGACCATCTTGGTGGAATGTTGCGATCCCCTTTTTGGATTCATAGAAGGGGGTTGCGCTTCTGGGGATTAAACCAAGTGGGAGAGCAGGAAGTGGTAGCGTATTTGTGAGCAACCAGAAATGAACAAAATTGGGGATATGATAAGAACGACAAATGTATATATGTTATACGTCGGTATAGTGTGTGCAACAGGGATGCTGGCAAACAGAAAACGGGTGTTGGATTCCGTCACCAACAGAAATAGTGGTTGAATGGCACTTGTTGTCCCGTTTAACAATGAAAAGAATGTGAATCTGCATCTTCAACAGTTCAAAGTCCATTCAAACCCATTTAACATGTTTTGAACCCCTTTAACCATCTTCACAACTCCAAACATGTTTCTAAAGTCCCTTCAAAACTCCAACCCCCCGCTGGCACTTGCTGAAGTGGCCGCTGCTGCTGCCCGTGCAGGCGACCAGCTCTGACTGCCCTGCTACCTTGACCGGTGAAATGCTGAGGACCACATGCGGCATAAGTTGGGTACAGGTACCCTCTGGTAAACATACAAAAAACTATGGAAAATCACCATGTTTTATGGGAAAATCCACTATAAATGACCATTTTCAATAGCTATGTTAAATTACCAGAGGGTACATTCTATGGAGCAACATGGGGTCCATGACCAAATCTGCATTTTGAACCCACCAGATGCCAAATGGTTGTCGGATCCTACTATAAGTTGGCTATAATCACCGTAAAGTTTAAGTTAACCCACTGATGGAAGCTATAACTCCATAGCCAATCTCTGATGGAAACTGGGAGCAGGACACGCTGTGTACGTACTGTATCCATGGCTGACCTTAGATATTCTGCAACAACAAAAGTTGCTTCTTGAAAGGGTATACCAGATTCCTCCATCAAAAGGGCTGAAAATCGAACCTCTTTCAGACCCCCTTAAGCTGATTTGCTCAAATATACGTTCTTGTTTGTGTTACGGTATCCAAATTCCTCTGGTTCATACGCGTCGACATTTAATATGCCGGGTTTCTCATATCTTATTCTACTGGCTCTATTCCTTTTTCTTATTTTTCTAGCAGATATACATACATAACATAACATAACAGAACAGAACACAACACAACACAACACAACACAACACAAACATAACATTCATTGCATTGCATTGCATTACATTACATTACATTACATTGAAATACATTAGATTACATACATAACACCCTTTGGTTTGGTATATAAATGCCCCAATGGAACATGGTTTACCTGGTAAGAGCTGTGGTTTTGCATTGCCATCTTTACGTACTGGAAGGTAGTCACTGGTTTCGTTGCAACAAGCTCATCGTTTTTTGCTAGCTGCATTTTTTAAAATCCAAAAAAAGTTGTGCTGCTACTGAAATCGAACTTCTGAAAGCTTACAATCATCAACCAGGGCTTCTCTGGCAAGATAAACGACAAGATATGATACTTTAATATGTAGCCATAGTTATAGGGGGCCCATATCCCAACAACCATGGTGGTAATTTCACCATGGTTATACCCATAAAGGTAACTTGAACTGCACCCCCAAGTACTTATGTTCATTGGCTTTTACACCCCACTAACTATAGATATGTCATGTCTACCACCCAGGCCTACCACCCAGCCCCTGCAACCCTGCCTGCTCGGCCTGCCTGTACAGCTGGCTCCACCCAGCGCCCTGCAGAATCTCGCAGCGCAGCGTCAAGGGCCCCCGGCTTGGGAGGCTGCGGCGGAAGACCTCAGCAGGTCTTGGGTGGATCCTGGCTGGGAAAGAAGGGAAAATGGCCTCCGAAAAATTGTGGAAGTTCACCGAAAAATTGGGGTCGAACCAGCTAGACATAGGATTTGAACCCACCAAAATGATGATTTAAGCAACAAAAAAATGGATCTTGATCTAGCCAACAAAAATAGGGGAAATAGGGATTTTGCCAGGAAAAAATACGGAGTTAATCAATGCAAATGGGGGTTGAAACATGTTGAAATTGTCGAAGGTTGGATTTTGAGCTTCAAAAGAGGCTCTGTCCTGTCGACAAAGATTGAGGACACCCTAGTTTTCAGAGAAACCCCGACATCATATGATTGCTTAGGCATCCCATTCTACCTCATGATATCCTATAACCTAAGCCATATGTATATATATATATATATATATGTGTGTGTGTGTGTGATTGTGTATGTGTATATATATATATATGTGTGTGTGTGTGGGATACCGTTGTAGTATATGGGGGGCATTCTAAAACCTTCCCCTTAAAGTTTAGTAAGCGGGTTTGTTGAGAACTGTTGTGTAGTTTAAAACCTTGCATCGCGCAAGTTTCGCGCAGCAAGGCCGGCCCAAGGTTGCGCAAAGGAAATTGTGTAGTGGCATGTCATGTTGTTTCTTCAACATGCTTTTGTATGCTTGTGTGGCAATTCTGCATCTGTTTTTGTTTACCGCACTGGCAGTCTCATGCAGGTGCTGTGCTCACGTTCCCCCAGGCAAACAATAACCTAACAATAATATACAATAATTATATACCAATCCTGCCAAAGAGAGAAATGTTCGGCCCAAATCCGCGCAAGCTTCGCGCATGAAACGCACAAGATTCAGGTCCAAAGTTGACCCCGTAGTCCATGCCGCCGTGTCAAAAACACAGGCATGCACATGGATATACAATGTGTATGCAAATATGTAGGTAAAAGGAGGAACATATACTTTCTGATAAGAAGACGCACGGACACGCAGACACATATTAGTATACACATTGTAGGAATAGGAAGCTACACGAAAACGAGCACGAAAACGGGGCACGAAAACATGCGCAACCAAAAACTCACACGGGACTGTCGTCGCGCAAGATACGCGCAAGGTTCGCCCAAGGCCGGCCCAAGAGCCACGTTCGGGCAAAAGAATTTAGAACAACCACCATATATATGCATATGTATATACATATATATATATATACACACATAATATGGGTATCCAATTCCAATCCCAATATATCCCAATGAAATCACCATGACAAAGTCGCCGCCAGCAACACTGCTGGCGAGTCCAGATCGCAGTTGTGCGCGTCAATGGACAAGACCTGACCGCAGGTGGTGGCATGGTGGGGCAGGTGCTGGGGCAGATGGATCCTCCACATTGCAATTATAATGTTAGAATTGTGGCCGTAGCACTAATAGTACCAGCAACGTGTACTAATTACAACAAGTAAATAACAACAATAATAATGATAATGATAATGGCAAAATGATGCAAAATGTGTATGATAACAATCATACTGATAGTAACAAATAACAATTCTGATAAACGATCTCTTTATCCAAAGTTCAAGGCATTTAAGTTTAAGCCATATGTGTTAAGCCATATGTGTTCCCCTGGCACTCATAGGGTTTCAGAATCTTCTTTTTGGTGTTGGTCGCTGTCCTTTGGCACTCTAGATAGTGCGTCTGGCAACACTCAGCACAAGTTCTGAGGACCATGCCGTTAGGAAATTGGGAAATGAAAACCAAGTTCAACCCACCAACCAGCAGTCAGTCGGTATTTACTACTTGTATACCATCATTACTCCACCTTTGCCGATCAAATCCTCAAAAGGTGTAGGAGGATTTCCCCATGTTTGGGGGGAACATCCCATGGTGATACATAATGGGCCCAAAAGACAAACATCATTCTCCGTAACCAGAATATCGCGAAGCCCAATCCCAAGAGGAATCATTCCTCGAAATCATCCCATGAACCATGGCCACTCTTGGATACCCTGCTCAAAGAAAAATGCTGATATATCTCCACATTTATCCAACCAGTAAACAATACGTTTAAGGGGAGATATTATCTTTGATATATCAACTTAATATAACCTAATATCAAAATATTAAGTTCGTATATTAAACTACTTGAGCGTGCCTGCAGGCAGCTTCCCCAGATTCTTAACCCCTTGTTTCTGCTCAAATCCCATCAATCTTTGGTTGTTTTTTTACCCCAAGTGTTTGATGGTTCTCCCAATGTTGGGGAGTCAAACCATAATTGTTTCATGGTTTTTTCACTGGTTAAATGCCAATTATAGATGGTTTAAATTCCTATCTTTCCTGGTTAAACCCCATTCTTGATGGTTAACCATCCCTATCCTGGATCCTCCCATCCACGCCTGACCCTCCTCAACCCCAGCATCGCGCAACTTCTGAATCAACTCCTCAGCAGCTTGGCCCCACCCGTCGCGGCACTCCACCTCCACGTAGCCCGGCACGTCGCCCGACACCTTGGGACATGTATACGTGTCTATTATGATTATGTAGGTTATATTAGATTTCTATACAATGTATATAGATAGATAGATAGATAGATAGATAGATAGGATAGGATAGGATAGGATTAGATTAGATTAGATTAGATCAGATCAGATGAGATGAGATGAGATTAGATTAGATTAGATAGATAGATAGATAGATAGATTAGATAGATGAGGTCTTCTCTAAATTCCTTCTCCCGAAAATCACCTTCACTGCGTATTTACAGGACTCCGCCTTTAATTACTAAACAGGCCTCCAACATGAGTGAAGAAAGTTGCGAATGATTGATTTGCAAACGTAGCCAGCGCGCGGCTCTCCCAGCTGGAGCTGCTGAAGCTACTGGAAACAGTATCACACCCTGTATTCTAACAACGCAGACTTCATGGCCCACATACCAGCTGCTGCTACCAGCTGGAAGCAAGCAGCGCTCTTGGGTTTTCAAGTATGGTGACTTGACCAACGGCAACTGCGTATTCTTCGGGCAATTATCTAGGGCTGATCTAGCGCGGATCTACCGCCAGAAGTACGTTTAGCCGAGCCAGTAACACTTGAAAAGCAGTTGTCTTCACGTATCTTCACAAGTCACGTTTGTGATGCTGGAGCTGCCATTCAGCTCGGCTCAAAGTGTCTAATGAAAAGCATGATGCATATTATATATATATTATTGAGTATATCATGCATATTAATTATATATATATATTATTGAATATCATGCATACTATGCATAGATATATATATGTATATACTATGTAAAAAGTTTGATATGGTGGGAAAAATGCCCCGGGTGGCAATTGTGAAAAGGTGGGGCGAAAGTGGTTCAGCTGGTGAAGTAGTTGTTGTATGAAATTGTGATTTAATCCATGCAAGTTGGGATTTAACTAGCAAAAATCAAGGGATTTCACTGAATTGGAATGGTGGTCCACCTCATTACAGGGAGCTGTTCCACCTCAACCGCCTCAACCCCTTCTTTTTGTGGTGCAGTTCCCCGTTGGGCGTCACAGTTACCATGCTGGGCACCTGCCAAAAGGTGTACTGCACCGAGCGCCCCTCGCAGTTGGAGGAGCCAGTGATGGAGACCACCTCTTTGCCTTCGGAGGTCTTGCAGCCGGCCTCGTAGAAGAAGCTCCAGGGACTCTCCTCCGGTACGGAGGCCCTGAGGGGCCATGGTTGGTTGTTGATATTATGCATAAATAAATAAATAAACATATGTATTTGTCACAATATATATATATATATATGTGTGTGTGTGTGCGTGTCATTATATTATTATTATTATTATTATTATTATTATTATTATTATTATTATTATATATATACATACATATATATATATAGGTGTGTGTGTGTCATTGTATGTATATATATATATGTGTGTGTGTATACACATATGTCATTATATATAGATGCCATTATATATATATAATTATTATTATTATGTATGGCATACGGTATGCATATTATATGTAAATATGTATATACGTGTGTATACATACATATGTATAATATATATACATGCGTGTATACATACATATGTATATAAATATAGATATATATGTACACATATGTATTATGTATTATGCACACCTAATGTTGTGTTTCGGAACTGTCAGGAAGATCCCCTTTCCCACAAATGACCAGCGACACTTCTTTCCGGGATTCCGTTCATTCCCACGACAGTTGCTTGCTGTGGAATTCTGCTACCTAGTCTGATTTGATCGATCTATTTGCATCGTTGATAGGAAGTGGGCACCCAAAGTGGACTTGAGATGATTTGAGAAAACAAATCTTCATACAGATTCATACACATTCTAGATCATCGTTGAAATCCACATTTGCAATGGCTGCTAACCCGACCATGCCCCCATCCTGGTTCAAGGCCACCCAGTCCAAATAGAGCGGCCCGTGACCCGGCAAATCACGTGAGTACATGGCTCCAAACATGGCCGGCGCATCTGGGTGGTAGTTGTGCGCATCTATGCCCAGCAACTGCCTGGAATCCATCGGCCAAGACTCAAGACTGCAGAAAATTGATGGTCACCTGGATAAATCCAGAAGAGTCTGACATCCAGGAAAAGAACTAGAATTCCCTCACACTGGACATATTATATGTATAAGTTTTGGATTTACAACCCATTTATCTATGATAAATCTTCTCTCGCTTCATCGATCTTCATCGCCTTCAGACCAGCCATTCACAATTGCTTGTGCCCAACAAGCGCAGCCATGCATAGATCTATGATGGGACTGTGGTTCTTGGGGGGGATGGCCCATGAATTATGTTCCTCGATCATCCCCTATTCTTTAGTACACCCCTGGGAGCCATCGTGGCTCATTCAAGATACGATAAACACATCATCAAAGATACAACTGAATAATTATCTAATCCATTAAACCCAAGATATCCGAAGATACTTTGATAAATCCCACTAAATGCCCTTAGATATGAATTCCCTTAGGTGCCCTTAGATGTCCATGTTTGTGCCCCAGGTGCCCATGTTGCAGCTGCAGCTCGTTGATCTCCAGCACCGCCTTGGTCGCCGCCATCTCCCAGGTGCCGCCTGAGGCGGACACGAAGCCCGCCTCACCGCTGGGCGTGGCCTCGCCGGCGGAGCTGAAGACAACGATCTGCACGCCGTGCTGCGAAGCCATGGAGCCTGGGCGTAGAGGTCCAGTTGTGACTGTGAGGCCAGGGGAAACTTCTGGATTTTTCCATTGTTGATTCAATCCATTGGACCAGTGAATTAGATATCTGTGTGTATTTGCTTCAACCCAAGTAACCAAATTCGGCGTTGTTGGCCCGTTAAGGTTGCGGTCATGTTTGGCCGTGATCCAGCTGAAGTGAGAAAAAGATGTTGAGGGAATGGCCAGCCTAGCTATGCCCAGCTGACACTGGCACCATGGCAAGGGGCTAGCGGTCACGGAAATCACCTCTTTACCCTTGGCAAGTTCTGCGGCTCTCTGGTAGCCTGGGGCGCTTTGGAGCTTGCCATCACAAGTACGTGGCCACTTCAACCAGCCTGGGCCCCCTCCAAAGTGTACGGAGACCGGAGTAGATGGCGTGAAATGGTGTGACTATATCTGGTTGCTTAAATATCCCACTTGCCAAGTTCGATAATCATTTCAACCAGCTTAGCGCCTGATGGCACATCCTCGGCCTCGATCACCGGGCCCCAGGCCACCTGCAACGCAAGCAGCGCAGGAGCCCGCAGAGTTCGCGCTGCGGCGGGTTTTTCATCCACAAATGCTAAGGTTAGAAGTATTTAAGGAAAATTATCCAGGAAAAAATATGGAGAAATTGAACATAATGGGACTATAAGTGAGGAAAGACCCTAGTTGAGAAGCGGTTTATTACCCACTGTAAAAAGGGAGGGTGCATCCTGTTTGTAGCTGGTAAGAGAATGTAATAGACATGTTGAAAGGAAACATATCTAATAATGATCAGGTGAATATAATCTACAACATCCAATAAAAACGTTGGTATGTCTTTTAGAGGGTGACGGGTTTTGCAATCATCATGAAATGGGGAAGTCGCATCAAAACAGATCAAAATAGCAGAAATCAAGCTGAACAAAGTAAAAACCTAAGACTTAAAACTGATTCAAACTAAATCTGTGATGATTCCATGATGACCCTAGGCTCTTCATAATTTTCGAGAGTATTTCCATCACAACTTAACTACTAGTAACAAATGAACCCCGAATGACGTAAAATGACCAAATATAACACCATTCTTTTTGCTTGAGCCCCAAAACCATATCCCGCTCAATCACCATTGTTCTTGGTAAAAACCATATGAGAAAAAAAAACATCAAAACCAGGGCCCCATGCGGCCCCCCTGGGGCCCCTGCACCTGCAGTTTTCCCCTCCCTGGCAGGTCACTGCTGAAGTAGGCACAGCAGTCGTAGCTGTGGCTGCAGTGCAAGTCAATCCACAGCACCTGACCTGCGCCGCTTGTGCTGCACCTCTCCCAAAACATGGTGGAGGCCCCTGGGATTTACGAGAGTCGGGGAGGGCCTATTTAAAACATTGCGAAAATAGCAGGGAAAATATGATCCATCATCAATTTTGAGGCACTTTATATTCGGGAAAGCAGATGATTTCAACAGCAAAATGTTCATTTTGAACCGAAATGGTGATGCTTCCATAAACCAAAATTGTGAGTGTATACTGACAAAACGTGCATGTGTCCAAGCAACCCAAAAATGATGAGTTTTAAGAGTTTTAACCTGCCAAAGTGATGATGTTAAAACCCAAATTGTAATACAAAATTGCGATTTAATCACGCAGAAACCGCGATTACATCCGGAAAGTTTCACATTGCAAGCCCGAATAACCATCTCCACTAGGAAAATATGTTCCAAAGAATTTATTCGGGAGTTTCATGCTGATCTCTTGGCATGTTGTGCCAATAAAGTGGTGTTGCTTCCCTCATCAAATGTTGGATCGTGCCAACCCCACCAACATGACAGAGGAGGACAACTCGGGCATCGCCACTTTGGTTGGTGAGCACCGCCATGTTTGACGCGACCCATACACCATCGCAATCCATGCAATGTGGCCACCCCATGCCAGCCCCAGTTGTGTTTGTTGGTGTATAGACCCTCATTCACTGTACTAGCGTGATCTAGCATAAAACCAAAGGTATCCTGGTATCCCAAAGGCACCATTTCATCCCCACAGTATCCCCAGTGTTAAAGCTTTAAACGGCATCAGAATAATTCAACCAGCATGTCTTGATGGTTCACAGATCGGGGTTTGGGGGTACCATGGGGCACCCCAAGTCACCATGGGTTTCAATACTCAAATGGTCGAAGTTTGGATGATCAGGGATACCCCCATTTTAGGCAAGCCCCTTTTTTTTCCAATGAACCCATCACAAGGGCCCAAGGCAGAGCCTTGCTCCACGTTCTTCTCTTCAAGACCCTTGAGGACTTGAGAAATGGCCTCCGCCAGGCTCGCATTCTGCGCTGCAACATAGCCTGCACCGCCGCACCGCAGCGCCCGCGGGGGGGTCTGGTCCATCCCCAGCCCTGGCCTCAACTTGTTACTGGTTGACTCGGTGTAATACATACAAAATATATTTCTAAAATATTCTATAAATGTTTATACAAGTGTATTAATATTTTGGTTTACTGGTGTATTTTATACATATCAAGAAATCAGGTTTGATATGTTGTCAGTAGCTGTTCCTCTGGACATGGCTCTCTGAACCTTGGGAGAAGTGACCATCCAGCTGTTACTGTGATGTCCTCATTTTCCGTTGGCTAGCATCTACGAGTATCCTGACATCGCTGATTTAAACCAATGCTTTACCATGTTTACCCATGTTCATCTAATCCAATCAAGTTCAAACAATGTGATACTACGAGTACTGGGTCCTATTGTGTTGATTGCATTTCTATCGACAATTTCGTAACAATTACCATTTAGTAATATTAAGTAGTAATATGTAATGATTATATTGGCTTATCGGGATGCTATGAGATGTCTTACAATTAGCTAACCAATATTCTAATCACAAGTACCTAGTAAATATAACTACATAATACCCTCTGGTAATCAAGCATGGCAATTGAACATCTGCCATTTATACTTGTGTTTTCCCAGCTATAAACCCCCATGTATAGGCAATGTTCAATTGCCATGTTTAATTAAGGGTAAAACCATGTAAAACCATTAATATCCCATGAATATCCCAATATTATCCCATTACCATCCCATTGTTGTCCTGTTAATATCCCATTATTGGTAATATCCCAGGAATATCCCACGAATATCCCATTTTTGTCCCATGCTTATCCTTATAATCCTGGCTATTCCTCCTGGCTGGCCACAGTGCTCATCCCTACGCGCCTACGTTCTCCACCAATCTCGGGGTCCAAGCGCGGATCACCGACACCACAGAATCGCCAAGGCTGGACACGAGCTGCTCATTTCCTGAATCGTTTTTGGAGGATATACATTCAAAAAATGCATATATGCACATGTAAATGTACAAATACATAGAGAGAGAGAGGGAGAGATGTGTTACAATGTATATGTACATCCATGTGTATAAATATATATATACGTATATATATATATATATACTTAAAATCAAAATTTAAACTTATATTCATATGTATGTTTATATGTGTATTCATTTTTCTGCTAATCTTGATATATATATATATATATATTTATATTTATATATGCATATATGTGTGTGTGTGACGTGTGTGTGTGTGTGTGTTCAATATGTGTGTGTGTGTGTTCAATATGTGTGTGTGTGTGTTCAATATGTGTGTGTGTGCGTGTAGTGAGAAACGTTATATGATATATATATATATATATACGTATATTATATATATACATGATATTTGCAAATGTATGTGCATATCTTCATATCAAACCAGCCTTGCGGCCACGAGGGCTTGTGTGCAAATATGGCAATTAGATGCAATTATGCCAGTAGAATCAAGTCATATATCAATTCTATGTCATGATGCCAACATGTTTCGGTTGATCATGGTTGATCATCATGTTCCTGTGCTTTTAATACCCATACCCTCTGGTAATTTGTTACATAGCTATTGAAAATGACCATAGAAATAGTGGATTTTCCCATTAAAAATTGTGATTTTCCATAGCTATGTTAAATTACCAGAGGGTAAACCTCCATTTCCTATGGTTTTCCTATGATTTTACCACCATCTCCACTGGTTACCAGAGGGTAACAGCCGGGTAGAAGCCCCATTGACAGTCAGCCGACGGCCCAAGACACGCAGAATCACCTCGTTCCACAGCAGCAAGAAGTCGGCCGTCGGACAGCCATCCTGCAAGGCCAATCGGCCTCGAGCCAGCTTCAAAAACACATCGAAAAATGGATCAGAACTGGATTCAAAGTCAGAATCACCAAAGTGGATCCAAGATTCTTCAATTTCAGATTGGAAGATTTTTCCAGAATTTTCTGGAGTTTACCAGAAAATTCTTCAATTTCAAGGTTTTCCCGAATTTTCCACTGCGTTTCTTCAGACCAGAAAGTCTCCACTGCACCGAACCAAGCGTCGCTTGAGGTCCAGGACCGTCTCGTGCGGTTCCAGCACTTCAGACTGCAGGGAGCCGTCAAGCTTGGCGATCTCCACGGTCACCATGGCGCAGGGGTTTTGGAGTTGTTTGGTGAAGAAAACCTATTGCAACGCATGGCGTTAAGATCTAGAATGAAACACAGGTCACACACAGGTCTGTTCTGACAGTTCTGTAGCTGGCATGTGGCTCATGGTGGCTTGGACCATTTAAGCAGCTGGTCGGCTCAACCTGCTCAATCTCTGGTCGCGAGCCTGGATAAGTATACGAAGCCAACAAAAAATGCTCTCACATCTCCCAATCGGAGTGGTTCTTCTAATCTCGCTATATTGATTGATTGTCCCTTTTCATCTTGGCAAAACATAGAGATTCCCATGTTCTTTCAATAAGCTCTTTGTGGATTGCCCTCTGGTAATCTAACATGATTATGGAAAATGGCCCTTAACTATAGACTATAGATTAACTATTATTTTCATGGTGATTTTAACCATTGCAAACTGTAAAGCAAACATGACTCGCTGGAAATCCCCCACTTGTAGCTGATTTTCTCAGTTTTAATAGACCTCCATTTAGTTCAGGGATGTCCCAGCCAGCTATGCTTGATTGTCCTGTTGCACCACCAGTGAATCCCATTAAATCCCATTAAATCCCATCAATTGATGCTTCAAATTAAGGCTAGTTCCCAGGCCAGGTAGCCCACACCCTCAAGCCTTCCCGTGTGACGGCGGCAGCCCCTCAAGCTTCGACTGCAGTTGCGCCATGTCTGCTGCACCGTCGAAGGGGCACCTGGCCAGATGGTCTGGGTGGCATGGATGGGCCTTGGAAATTCCTTGGATAGCCACAGGCCCCCAACATAAAGTGATGGATTATGACGGATTGTCGACAGGGCCATGATATCCCGGAAACCATCCTCACAAGTAGAAGTAAAAGAAGGCACGCCCAGAGACAAGCCATTTAAGGGAATAACTACTCAGATAAACCTAGCTGAATTATCGCGAACAATAACTAAGCCAGGTCCTTGTAGTTTTGGAGGTTGTTATTACATGCTATTACTTGCCGGGTTCACAAGCCACATTAAGTTACTAGCTTCCAAGCGAAGTCGAAAGTGTAACCCCCAATCGGTCATAAATTGG